TTATACATCTTCTATGGACTTTTTCAAGGTCACGACATATCACTGACCTAAACTGACCCAGGTCAACTGCGTAGCGTAATCTTTGACGTTTATTCAAATATAAAAATCAAAGCAGTCTTGTACGATTTTGGTCACTATGACCCTTGAAAGGTCAAACAAGGTACTGGCGGTAGAATGAGAGTGGTGATCTTTTACTTTGAACGGGTTTCTAAATTCTTGGGGTACTTTTGAACACCATCCTGGAGTTTGACAGTTTGTGATCTTATTTGACCCGGAGGTCGTAATCTAGAAAACACAAATTTGACACAGTGAGTTCATGTACAAGACTATACACCCATTTGGTGTCTCTAGGTCCCTTTGTTTCTAAGAAGATCTCAGGGGTCAAAGTGACCCCCCCGAGCGCAAGGTGTTTAAACGGCCACGCGGGCACATGTTTTAAAGCAGCTTAATGTAAGGGGAAGATATCGCCACTTTTGGTTTCTTTCCTTCCATTTACAATACCATGACGATATGGCACTGTCGTTTTTTGTCCCTCTTGTTGTGGTGCTACTGCAAGACGGTGAGCTTCTGTAAGGTTCGTTTTACGGTCAAAACCGGAAAGAAACACCGCATCGCAAATAACGAAGAGCTAGAAGTTTTATCACCACGGTATAAATAAGATGAACGCAATCCACCGCGACTAAAACTGTCGTTTTTTATTCCATTAAGGGAGGTTGGTACAAGATGCTTTCACAGTTTGGTTAAGCCCATATATGCCCATATGGAGAGGGTACCGGGTTGAAATGGGTGCAGATTTTTAGAAAATTATTGGTACGGGTACGAGTATGGGTAACACGTTTACTAGTGGCAAGCAGGTACATCAGGAGATATCACACAACGTTGCTGTTTGCGCTTCTTTTCGTCATAATTTCCTTCATTCGCACCACTTTTGTACCTATTAACGCAAATGACCAAGTTCTTAATCGTAAACCTTTCCTAGAACCTTGCATTGAGAACCAATGTGTTGGAGAATACAAGCGGATGGGCAACGGCTGGATACAACCAACTAATCAATGTGGAGCGGGTGGGTATGGGCACAGCCCTACAGAAGCGGGTAAATTGATCTAAGACATCCTAACCTGTGAACGCCTCTGCTTGTGTTGGTGGTATCTCAAAGTGATATGCGCCCGCCGAAGAGTTGTTTGAAAACCCCTAAATCACCTTAATCGTCATGGTACAACAGGGAGTTGGCGAACAGGCCGGCGTAATTAACAACTAACATCTGGATTTCGCAGGCCTCATTATGAAAACAACGCCGCCCACGATCAACTGCAAGCTGGCCAGACAGCTGTGTGAGAAGGACAGGGCCTGCCAGTCCATCACCTCTATGATACCCAGACTCTGCGGTCAAGAGCTAGGTAAGTATGATCGTTTGATCGAATAGCTTAATGAAGTTATCGCCAAATAAATTAACCAGTGATTAAGGCATGGCTTTTAGGTTGCTTACTAGGGTTTCAAAATCATAGCGTATTATTGCACCATTCTGACGAAAAGACGCTTTACACAGATAAAATGTTCCAAAGATAAGGGCTCGAGTATATTCTGCACACTTCTTCCGGGGTGCGGTTTCTGTTTAAGGTTTTGCTCCATGGTATTTTTTACGTGTCTTTAAAGCAATACGAAACAATGTGAACATGCCTTCTTAGAACATAGAAATGCAAAAAATATGGTTATTATTAAACATACGTATAATAAACACTTCACATGTGTCATAAAACCGAAAAACTTTGCAATAAGCGTCATAAAGCTGAATGTATATGCGAAAAGGCATCATTTTGTATCATCACTTGAAAAATAGTGTTGAAATTATGATTATATGTAGTCGATCTAGTATTATCTTAGTCATCAGAAGTTATGTTAAGAATGGTTAGAAAAATAATCCGGTGCATAAATAGGTGTTGAAAAAGACAGTTAAATCTCCCATATAAATATGTATTCAACCGCACGCCAAATTGGACCACGTGGTAAGCACTCGCTTATACAGCACAGCAGATAGCTTGACTAGCTACCAGAATGTTCGCAGATGCGCAATTACTACACTTTGTTAGATACCAGTCCCGGTGCATACCTTTCTGTTAGAATGGTTTCAAACGCCCCGCCAGCCATACTGCTCACTTCTGTACGAAATGGTTTGCTCTCGCAACCTTAAATGCACATTTGCATCCGAAGACTTGGAAAACCGCTCTAAGCGGGATGCGCTTTTTAGGTTGATGGCCTAAGAATCTGAACCCATTGCGTTTCATTAACACGCGCCTGGGTGGCCGCTTGAACACCTTTCGCTCGGGAAACGGTCATTTGACCCCCTTTCCTAAGATCCTAAAAACAGAGATAGCTATAGAAACCAAATTTGCAGGGTGGGTTGACCTGTATGTGAACTCACTTTTTCAAAATTTTAGACTCCTAGGTCACGATCTTGGGGTCAAGAATGTTAAAAGGTCAAACCCCATATTGGCGTCTCAAGTGTCCACAGACCTAATGCAGCAGCTGTGAAGCTAGATGCCTGTCATCAACAAAAAAGAGCAGTGGTGTTCAATTAAGGTCGTCTTAGGTCAGTGACCTACTTTGATCTTCAAAGCGTCCACGAAACATGCCTGCTGTGGTCTCTGTCATCAATAAGTTCGAAATGAGAACCAGAAACTACCCCGTCAACCAAGTTGTCGTGCAAAAAGTATGCTGGTTTGACCTCGGTCTGACTTTCATGCCTGACACTAGGTCAATGGAATATGCTGCCATTATAGTTCAATTGATTTACTGTTTAAAAGCTATATCGGACATGCATAGCTTCGTTTAACACTCCGCTGCTGCTTCACATTGAACGATTTCCTCGAAATGCCATTCGCTGAAATCCACACTTTGACCTGTCATAGCTCAGCGACCTCAAAAGGTTCCTCCTTTCTTGGAACCTACAAGGTCCACTATCTAATTATTCATTGCTATGCAAAATTGGGCGTGGCGTAGCCGCGCCCTTCAGAAATCCTGTTGGAAAACGCTCAGCGGGAGATCAAATTGACCCCTTCCCGAGCGCATGTTCAGATTGCAGACGAGCGCTTAATTACTTCGAATTTGTGAGGCTGAATTATCGGTAGAACTTCAAAGGTTGACGTTCCTTTGTTGGTTTTATCGATATTTGACCTGTCTACCAATGCGCACAGAACCGGGGGGTGTCCCCGTCCGATGTCGAATATCCATTTCAGAAAGATGAGTTGAGGAGGCGTAAAGAATGACGGCGGTCGGATTAGTTTGTGCAGCCCAGTGTGGTTTGTACTAGCCCGCAAGGCTTAAATTTTGATAAAGGCTACAATCTTCTTGTCGGGACACGCTAAAAAAGATAAGGACAAATGCTTCATTTTAGTCATCTGGACGACGAATTAATGCACTAAATGTTCTTTTTTAAGTTGTGGAAACTTTTTTATTAAGTTTAAGTGTATACTAACATTATGGCAAAAGGAAGATAGCTTTGATGCAACAGGTTAACAACATGTCTCGTATGAAGAATAAGTTGCTATGTTAAGTGAGTCCTTTACAGACATTTCTTCAACGTCAGCACATGCTTTACGTTCACCCAACTTTAAGCTGCCTGGAAATCATCAAGGCCGAGGCGTTGGAATGCCGAACATATCCATTGTGTTTTCGTCGGTGCTGTGGGGAACAAGGTGGGCTTTCCAAAATTAATTTTCATTCAAGGAACCGATTTACTCTCACCTCAGGTTAAAGAAACATAAATACCCTGTAAGCTCTGTGAAGACTGGTAAGGCAGGCTTTGGTAAGTAGTTAGGCGGCAACCACTCTGCAAGGTACTGCATACCTGTGACAGGAACGCTGCAAGGATATAGGAGTTTATTTTGTCGTGTCCGCGTCGGAGATGCCACCGAATGTTTCAATAAGATTTGAAAAAGTTTCGGTAGGAAGCGACCTGACATTAACCTGCCCATAAAACATGATCTTGCTGATGTCCAGCTAAACGTAATTTAAAAGCAACTTGTGCGTCTTTATAAACATGTTTTTAAATCTCTGCGAAATAGTTCTAACCGAAAGTTATTGATAAAAGGTGTGTAGTTAGAACGCAAAACGCTGCAAATTTCTAGGAAAGTTTGTGAAAGCCTCGCACCATAATGCTTTATGAAAACGACTATTACTTATATTTTAGTTTACAAAATGATCTCAGGTCTTCGTGCCGCGGCCGCATGTGTGGCTGTCTTTTATTGTTTTGAGGGAAGGCAGCGAGGTAAAAAGGCGTAACACATGTTATGTTTTTCAGGATCATCGGACTGTGTTCCACAACTGCGCCGTGGTTCAGTGTCCTGCTCGACGGTGACAGTCACCAAGTGTCGAGCAGCTCTCAGAACACTGGTGGCGTTTCAGTTTCTTCCAGCCCACCTGTCTGGTGTAAGGAACCTCGCTTGGATCCAGAGTGCAACAAGTACAGGAACCTGGTGTTCGACCACCCCTGCTTCAGCGTCAGCTCAAAGGTAATGTGTGTTTAACATTTGCAGGCTTTATTGTAAGAGAATGGCCGTAAATGCCAGTTGTTCATCGACGTCATGTGCGGAAATGCAAAGGTAATGCCTAGATAGAAGGAGCACGCCCTTCTTTCATGATCAGATATCTTTGAAACATGAGGAGCCAACTGTTCGATTTCCTGACATCATACACTGCTGAAACTACTTCACTGCGTAATGTTTATGTGTAGTTGGAACATCTATTACTTCCACTAAAGAAAGCGCGTAATTTTTTATCCACTCGGCATATGAAAACTTTTAGCTAGACAAATGCTAACGTTAGCGATATTTTACTCTAGCTCTATCTGCTGCTCACATTGCAAGTACATGTCCACGTAGGAGTGAACTCACGCGGTACCAGATCACTGACTGTTTTGTGATTTACAGTCCTATGGCCTATACTTCCTCACCAGTACAAACAGTAACTGTCTGCAACTGAATGCGTCACAACTTTACAGACAAGGACCCGTTCCCGATACACGCACTGCCGACGTGCGGGTACGCACTCGGAGCCTGTCTACAGCGGTCCAAATGTTCATACATGTACGAGAACTACGTCAACGCGTGCCGCTTCGAAGGAGACACGTGCCACATGTCAAACAGGTGGGCGAAGTCCGGCTGCTCATGCGTCCCACACCCCCGCACGGTAGACGGCAGGTGTGAGCCATTCTTTTCATGGAAACTTCTGACCATTCAGTAACATAACTTGCATCGCACCTTCCGACACCACGACACGGCCTTGCGCAATGCATGTGGAGTTGTTCGCCGCGAAATACGAATTGCATTTTTTCCTGCTCTGCTGCTGGGGTGCTATCCCCCGGCTACAACCCTGCTGGATGCTATGCCCGGTAATGACCACTTGCGCATGCCACCACACTACCGGGACGTAAACCTTCAACGACATTGGATCTTCAACTTTGAAGCCCCTGCTGACAAAATACGCGAGTTGCGAGCTCAGATCTTTGCTGGAAAAAAAAACATTGACTGCATGTAACTATGGTGTCCACCGTTCAATATTGCACACGATTGGGTCACACCATGAAGATATTCCTGGAATGTGGACCGGCGATGAGGCCAACTTTTGGCTCAGTTCAGTCATGTTAATAAAATACAAAGCCATCACTAAAAAGCAACAGTGTTGGCTATTACTTTAACAGGGTTAGTTGATAGCAACGGTGTTAGCTTTTACTAGTAACAGTGTCAGCTTTTAACTTTTATCATAAGACTGTTTTACAGCTTGTTGATAGCAAAACTCAACAACTTTTTGGCTTCGTCTTGAGTTATTGCACAGTGCATTGGTCACAATATTTGTGGCGGGATGCGTTTGCACCATGCAACGTCTGCAACTTCGCGATTGTTTAAAAAAATCCTGCCTAGAGGGAGAGGGGGGAAGCCCAAAAAGGTTTTTGAAATCACTGCAAAAGTTGCGGAATATCGTGCAAGTTTATTATGGCTAAACAGATTAAAGTAAAGCTCTAGGATTACTTCCATTGTTCTCACAAGGCGTGAGAGCTGTTCAACAAGAGCTCCCTCTGCACTCCCCCCCCCCCCCTGGAAGGGGGGGGGGGGGCGAGGGAGCAGAGGGGAGCTCTTGTGGCTTGTGAGAACAATGAAAGTAATCCTAGAGCCTTACTTAATCTGTTTAGCCACATTAAACTTGTGCGATATTCCGCAACTTTTGCAACGATTTCAAAGACCTTTTTGGGCTCTTGTGCCTTGTCAGAACAATGAAGGCAGTTCTAGGGTGCGACTTTGGTTTTCTCAGCCGTAAAATACTTTTGGAACACTTTACAACGCATATTCTAAGTTGGCTTCCGCTGTTTTAGTAATCCACGAGGTCGACGGTGACGTTCAGTTGCGTTTCTTCATCCCGTCTTTCCTTTTAATGACAGTGACGCCCTATTTGCTTTTGCAGCCTGGCGTCTTGCAACACAACTTCACCCATTAGCGTGCCGCACCCGTGCTCCTTTCAGAGCTATATACAAGCGTGAGGCTTGCCAAATTTTGTAAGACATATAAGCAGCTTCACTGTTCAGTGTCGAAGCTGAAATTAAAATTATGGATGTAACAATATTGGTACTAATTCGTGGCGTGGTTTTTCCCTACTACAGCTGTCTAACACTCGTTGGACTACGATACGCCCTACAGAGCATCTCACCTACCGCCTCACCTCTATGTTTTCGGCTTCAAACATGAGTTGATTGGAGCTGTAATCATAATTTGTCCATCATTCACTTGTAGTGAGCTGTTATTGCTCGCGCGTGCCCTCATAATTAACCGACTTCCATTTTATTCCTCGCGGTGGTTTCGACTTTCACCATAACGCTACATTCATTTGCCGTAACCGTAACCAACTTAGGCCGACAGCTTTACCCCTCTAGTATACTACAGTGGCACACAGGGTCCGGATGGAGAATAGGGTGATGTTGGCTAACATACTGCCGAAGTGGGATATTCGAGGAACCGTGCACCCGCGTTTGCAATATTACTTTCCACTTTTCTAAACATGGCAAGCCGCTTCACACGAGGCGTTCGGTGCCATTCGGGCTAAGGGGCAATAGCGTGCAGCAAGACGCTCTCGCCTTGAATCTCATTTTCATCTCTCACATGGTGCTTTCGGTCCTAGTTATCGTTCAGACAGCGTCCCTGCAGTTAAGGAGAGTCTGCCTTCGCAATGTCAACGTCTAGAGACTTCATCGCTATCCTTATGCCATCTTCACCAAGCACTCCATCTTTCGAAAACGTCTTTACGAGATCCCTTTGAAAATTTCGCTGATTTGCACCTTCCACAACGTCTTGTGGGCACTGTTTCTTTTTATGAAAGTTACTCCGACCGTTTATGCCAGCAACACCTAGCGCGTAGCATGCCAACAGCGCATATCTGATGCATCGTTGCCCTGAGGGCCAAAGTTTTTCTTCATCCTTAGCAATGCTCAGGCTAGTGCTCATGCTCAATGCTCATCCCTTGCCCCTGAAGAGAGATTGCCTCCCCAATGCCAACCACCCAGGGATTTCATGGTCTGGATCCCTATATCAGCTCTACTGAACACGATATCTTTCGCAAACGTCTTTACAAGATCCCTGGAACGTCTTCACCAAGTCGTACTTTCCACAACGTCGTGTGGGCACTGTTCCTGTTTTTGAGAACCTCTCTGACTGACTGCCCCTGCTCCTCAATGAGGTCGATCTTTCTATGTGATCACTTCTGCTCTGACAGTCAAAAATCCGCGTCCTCTATCCGCTAAACTACCGGTGTCGGTAGACATCATGGGCATGAAGAGCCTGCATACATGGTCGTCTTTGGCCTCATGTACCCGCTAGGTTGCTATTTGTTCATCCAGATCGTCTGTTTGGCTTATTCCCGACAACATGGCAACATCAAAATAATGCTTATTTGCCTTAGGTATTAGCCCCTCGGCATGTGCATAACGTTCCCTTTAAAAACCTGAATGGCCAACTCTTCTCGAGTAGTTAAGGTGGCTGATTTGCGATATCATTTAGTCAGAGTGCTGCCCATTTAACGATCATATCCCGAGTTGTATCAGTATTTGTCTCACATTGGGACCCAAGCCATAACACGGGTTAGCAACAGGTTAGACGGAGTATTCCACATTTGTGTGTGGTTTCGAACCGATATAGCCATTTTGAAGATCATTCAGTCCAGAAACCCTGCCTTTTTAAGACTTATAACTATTTTTCTGATCTTGACGCCACAAGCTTGGACAGACCTTCTCGTACAGACTGTTTCAAGGTCACCTAGGCACGCATGACACGATAAAAACGTCAAGCAAATGTTATCACCGCATTGGCCATATAATGCTCAAGGCCCTCAAGACCTGATCACCAAGTTATTAATGTCTGGTGTCATTAACTCAATCCCTGGCATCAACGGACTTCACTTGGCTCTAAACCAATGCTATACGCTTAGTACACGGCTCCAACACGAATCACGTAATATGGTATATAATGCAGAGATTAGGACAGTGGTACGCGTAGTGGCGGAAATAAGACTGGGATTGGACTAACTTCGGAATAGCTCCAAAACCGATTATATGAATGCAAATAAACAATGTAAAATGGCGGACAAATATGCAGCAGCACCACGATAAATGGCTAAAAGACGAGCATTGTCGATATTCCGTTCGCAAACACGCCCCAGGAAACATCGCCACCTCACGGCAAGTTGAACTACCATAAGTGAGTGAGTTGGCCCGTCCGCCTCAGTGGCAATTCTGACACAGCCAGTCTGGCAGCGACTCTGACGTCATAAGGACATTTCAGACGCAATGAAACGATGGCATGTTGAGCTGCAAAGTTACTAAAAAACATTTGGACGTTATCTTCTGCCGTCTTTTAGCTATTTAAAGCAAACCGGCACCTACAAGTGAACCCATTTGATCATACCTGATGTTTGCCTGAAAATCTTCAAATGTGGACCATTCCCTTTGATAAATGCCGGGCACAATGAGGAACACCTCATTATTTTTGGTATGAACAAGAAATCTGTTAGATATGCACCTGTGTGTCAGAACTTAGCTTCTGCTAAATGTTTTTCACCCTGTCACTGAAGGTAGCGCCACGCAAACGTAGCGTCTGGAGGGGAGCTCCGCACCGTGCCGCGGTCAAGGTCAGACTGAGAACGGGATGGGCACTCGAACGGCGAGTGCTTTCGGATGTCCTGGGACGCCACCTGACCTGAATTTTTCCTCTCATGGCGGCTTGCTCCGCACTGATGAGCTCGGACGCGGTCTTTGAGACTGCCTTCGAGGCTGGTGGCTTTGTCCGCTTGCCGCTCTCTGACCGCTTCATCTGGCCTGCTTGTAGCCTTCTTGGCCGTCCCTTGGCGGTCATTTGCCCCCGCGTGGCGTGAAACGTCAGCAGCGTGGGACGCTGCTTCGCTCAATGCCCCGCTCATAGGTTTTCTCAGCACATTCTCTTTACCCAATGAAGTTGTCGTGGACAGTACTCGCGCTTTTGATGAGGTAGGATGTTGTTCCAAAAGGAAGTTGCAAGTTAAAGGGAATATTCCACAGTTGAAGATATTGAAGGAAGCATAAGATATGATGAAATGATCTCACCTTTAACTATTCATATCATTTTAAGTGGAAAACACTGCTCTAGACAACACTTTTTTGTTCATCAAATGTGCTTCTTAATACGTCATTGGTTGGGTACGTCATCATATCTTGAGCAACATTGATTGATGGGTAATTGACGTCCATTTTATATGGAAGAAGTGCTCTCGAATGCCAGATATGAAAGACCGGACAATAATACTCTTATGGCTAATGGAATGGCAGTATTTCTATTACGTTGTTATGGTATCATGGATGCCTGCGTGACCCTGAAATAATAGGCACGAAGTGGTGTGCACATCGTTGGGGCATTTAGTTCAGAAACTAGAAGTTTTTAGGTCATAAGAAAGACAGGGCTGTGAAATGCACCGAATGATCTTCAATGTAGCTATTTCAGTTTGAAATCCCATCGAAATATTGAACACTTCCTATAGCGGTCTTGTTTCTGACATCCTCTCCCCACTTTTGCCATAGATGTACTTCCAAGGGCCCTGAGCTGCTCTTCCGGCACATTCTGTGCGTACATTC